TGAAAGATAAATTTAGTTTTTCCCTTACGTTCAAGCATGTCGGTGTGTCCGCTAGGTATTGCGTAGGAGCGCAAAATATTAAAGCACCCGGTGCGTCTGTGAATGTATACGTTTTCAGAACGTCTGTAGAATCCTGTTCCTGCTCGTTGTCTGATTCACTATTCACATCCTCAGCTGCTAAAATTGATGTGGCAACCAGGTCCCAGTTTATTTCTGTTGTGTTACAGGTTTGGAGATAAGAATCAACCATATGGCTGTCAGACACTTGGCATCCAAATAATTGCTTTGAAAGAGTATCCAAAAAATTGAGGTTGTATGAGGTATATTCGCTCATACATCTCAGGTCCAGTTTGAAATGTTCTCTCAGAATCCATTGCTATAGGACAAGGAAACCCAGCTTTACAATAACAGAAAATAGCTAGAACACGACGTCCAATAAATTTACTCGTTTCATGCGTCCACTTACGAACATATCTTTGTGGGATTCCATAATCGTAATAAGATGCAGAAGTTGCTTTTCCTAAACATCAATTTAAACGCTTGAATGATACCCTGGTAGAGGGGTTGTACTAACGCAGTGGTGTTCGGTGGCAGGAACTTCAATTTGACATTAGGTAGCCGGAATTTGGGATGGCAAGTGGCATTGTCAACAAACAGTATGATGTTGCGCTTTTTCTGTCATTGAAAATAGCTGCAGTCATCCATATCAGTTTATTATTCTTGTAAAGTACCGGTAGTTTTTCATGTTGATGTTACTAAAAAGTTGTGGGTTGGCTGATTTCTCAATCACTAATGCCGGTTTTCGCTCCCCCAACATGTTAGGACACAGCATAACTGTGGTACGAACCTCGATTATTTTCCCATCTGCACATTTCTCACCTTTGAGAAAAAGTGTTTTATCTGACGTCGCTTTGAATAACAAACCAGCTTCATCTAAATTAAAATTGTCTTAAGCTATGTAGCCAGAACATTTTTCGGGTAATTTCGCTGTCCAGTCGGATGCAGCACACATATCTGTCACCATATTCCGCCGATTGCTTACCAAACACAAGATTGTGTCTACTGATGAAAGCCTGCAACCAAACGTTTGCCGCTTTAAAGTATGGATTTTACTATTCTTTTGCGAGGTGCAATGCTCGTGCTTGAATCATGGGTCCATATAATGGAATACTTCTCGCCAGTGCTGACTGGCACCATTTCCAGCAAAGTGCGTTTATGTCTTCGTTACCCGTTTTTCTACTATCCTTTTTTCCAATCTTGGTGCGTCGTTCTCAAAGTCATTCAAAAACTCGGCTTTCCACTTTAAAGTTGGAAGGTTTTGTGTCATTCCTACTCGGAAAATTTCCGGCAATGTTCGCGAACTTTCATTTTCTTGATTTTGACAAATCCCTGATTTTCTTTCTTCAAGTGGTAACGTCTTTGACTTTGCTGATTTGGAATGAGCTATTTGGTCCTTCGTAAGAATCTTCAAAAAGAACTATAAAAACGAACATGAATATTCAGTAAGGACGTAACTCAACAGTACCCGATCAGTGCTGACAACCGGCTGGTTACACAGGAAACTAATGCACACTGAAACTGATAGCGACTGTACAACAGTATCACAAAACCCAGAGTGTCCGAGGGGGGTCCCATGGATCTTTTGTTGGGTAACATGGCTCAATCCGATTGGTTCACTGTACAAACTATAGCGGGATAAATGCGTTAGTTACACAGGGTGATGTCCAGGGGGGTAACGTGTCACTGGACAAGTCTGGTGTGACCCCTGGGATGAGAATAAACCAGTGGTATTGGTGGAGTTACGCAACGAGACTTGCACAACTGCGACAGCTGAGGTATTAACAAGCCTATGGTGAATCGAATAAGGAGACAGTGAATGCGTGAACCTGGGCGATAATGAACCAGTGCAGGGCATATGGTGTGGTTTCTGGGGCAATTATGCCATTTTAACACGAAATCTAAGCTATCAGTGCGATGTGGTGGCAGACTTACTTACTACTTGCAATCTCGCCCAGTGGTGGTCGCCTTGAGCAGGTGCTAGAACGCCTGGAGACTACAAAAGCGTGGTCGGGGTTGCGTTAGACAGGTGGACGCCAAATACGAAAATGGTTGGGGATATTTTTGACTGGTCGCCTTATCAGAGTGGAATGTATTTAAAAGCATAAAGAATACTTTTGGATTGTCTGGTCACACCTGCTTCTGACGCTGCGTTCCTTCGAAGGGAGTGAGGGAGATCTCTCTTGCACTCAAACGATACCACAACTTTCGTAAATGTGCGACCCCCAGAATAATGTGTACTTTGAGCTCACTATGACAAGCGCAGTGCATCAGAACCGCTTCAGTGGTTTTTTCCCATTTCTATTACCCGGTCGAAATGTGAATCAGTGATCCCCATTCAATGAAATCCAAGAAAAAGCTTAATGGACTCAGAATAGTGACTATTCAGTTGCTACACACACGACATCATCAATGCGAAAAGAATATGGCGTAAAAAGTGAATACATAAGTCCATAGGTGGCATAAATAGCAATATGATAATAATGCAAAATTGCTTCTAAACCCCAGAACAACTGAGATCTGGTCGCACAGAAAACGTGCCAAATACGAAATTAAGAGTGATTTGGCAAACACTCACACTAGCATAAATGGATATATATTGTTCTTTGGTTGATGAGGCTGAGAAAAAAAGTCAAATAGTGCACCATGAAGAGGGTGACTTGCATCGATGAATATTTTTTGAAGCAAGTCTTTTGCATGAATTGGTATGCATAGACACAAGGGTGTAAACAAAGGTCGGCTTTGGAATGTCACCACTATATCGAGCCAGTTGCGTCAATGACCTATCCAGAGTTTTGAGATGTCACAAGTGAGCAATAGGTTCAATGTAGTAAGATACAAGCGGTGATAAATCGCAGTATTAGGTGACGACGGACAAAGGAGGACCGTAAAAGAGCAGCTTAGAAAAAAATCTTCGTTACTTATGTAAAAGCTTCATTCACATGGAGTGACCAAGAAAAATTACGGCTGAGTGTGATACTTAGATAATTCATAGACTCGGTGGAGTGCAACCTCTCACCATATATGTGATGTTCAGGGAAATCCATGAGAAGTTGCTGATAATGTGACAGTCTTTGTGCAGGGAATAAAGGATAAGATTGCATTTTAAAGTATTCAGTGATAAAAAGTAAGCTCTGGGCCACAATGCAAGGTTTTCCAGATAGGCTTTCAATTTGATTGATGAGGCTGCAGTCGGATGTTGGATACCAAAGACCAGGTCGTTTGCATATTTCAGCAACATCGTTTCATCAGGGGCAGGTAATGAGAAGACGTAAGTTGAGAGAAGGTATGTTGACAGGACAGCTCCTTGAAGAACATGGGTGGCTGCGGTGAGCGGCGAGGAAGTTTTACCCCCAAAGTCGAATAAACTGGGCACGTCCAGTGAAATAGTCCCTCATCAAGTGGACGGTAGAAGGTTGAATTCTAACACCGAGTAGATTCTACAACAGCAATTCGCGGTTTACGCAGCCGAATGCGCTGATATAGTTGAGAAAACATTCGCGCAGTGTTAATATTGTTGTCTAGTGACACCAGCACAGAATGTACAAGATAGATTAATGCATCTCGAGTAGACCAAAAACTACAATAAGCAAACCGGAGCGGATCACCTGGATGAGTATGAGTCAGCATCTTTTCAAGCATAATCTTCTCGAAGATCTTCGGGTTTACTAAGGTGCAGGAAATTGGCCGGTATCTATATGAACCTTTCTTTAGCACTTTCTAACAGCCAACAATTTTATACTCTTTCATACACAGCGTGTACAGGTCAGCAGGAGGCTGGGCCGAGCAATCGGCATACAACTTAAGCAAAGCAGAAAGAAGACAGATTGCGATCTGTCAACATTTCGACTGTTCTCCTCAGTCGCATACACAATACAAGTGGAAACACATACACAAATATATACATGGAAAAAATTGGCACACCAATCAAAACGTCAAAATTAAGACCAAGGCAATCTGCTTGATTGCCTCAAGAGTTTCTGTGCACATAGCATAGGTTGATAGGCCCTAATTAGTAACGCTTCACTGATTGCCAACATTATCGGATTCCGGTTACGTAATAGCAGTTCGAACGCAGTCTTCGGGTTCACATGGTGACCAGTTGTCACGAGGTGCTTGGTGATACATCTTGAGGACAACGGGAGATAGTCCATCCGGACCACTTGCTTGCTTGAAATTAAGCTGTAGTCGTTTATTGTGCACTGTATGTCTGTTAATGGCGGAATTTTGTGGGACAGTCGACTGTTGAACTCAGAGTAGCGGATGACATAACAACGTAGTTTATACGCAAGCGATACTGAAACGGATGGCGCATGCACGATGCGACGCAAGTTACCTATTGCCAAAGAGCAAAAAGCAGCGTGACGGAAGAGTCCACAGCCCACCATCTCTCAAACCATTGAGCATAAACTACAGATGGTTAGCTGGCCTACATACCTGTTGCATTGCCTTGTAGGTTAGTGCACTTATTGTGAAGTCTCATATGGTTGCTCGAATACTCAGTCACCACTGAGGAGTTTGTGGGAAAGGGTGGGCAACGCGGCCAGTGTTGCTGGATGCATCAGAAGTTTGGCCATCAAAATGCATTGAACGATGCTGCTGCTGCTGATGAGGATGATGAGCTACGCGTGGGCACCGATGTCCGCCAAGTGTTGCGCTTATCAGTGAAAGTGTAGTGCTAAAGTTGGTCAAACGGGGAGCTTGGTGGTTGCTGCGGTGTTCGCCGAGCTGGACAATCTGATTGCAACGACAAGTCTGAATAAAATGATGCACCAGAACCTTAGTGTTAAAAGACCGCAAACGAAAGATACAACCGGTTAACTAGAATCCTAAAAGCCACGAAACTGATCCGGCAGCGTAAGAAGTCACAAATTAGCAGTCGGAGTGGTAAATTAGAGGGAGTTCGTCAGCCATCTAAGCCGAAAATTTCATCATTAACTCACCATGTGGATATCGATATCAAAAATAGCCGCAACGGGCTTGTGATCGCTCGTTTTCAATTCAGCTCTGTTGTAGAAAACTAACTGACAAAATTCCTGGTCTCCAACGTTCTGGCACGAGGGTACAAAGACTCCGTTTTCGTTCATCTTTGGAAATTGTGGACGAACAAAACGCCATAAAACTCGGTCTGTCCAAGCGGGAGAACGAGCTTTGTCGGAGGTATCGTAGTCGTCACAAAACAAATCGTATTTGTAAGTCGGGGCGAAGCGAACGGGGCCTTCTTGGAATCCCGGAAACACATTGCCAGCCTGACGCTCCAGTGTGAGTTGATCGGACCGAAGCAAATCAAGCCAAGCAGATTGTGCGGCCAGACGCTTCACCTCTGACGCGGGCAAATTGATGCGATAATTGAAATCACCGCACCAAAAGAGGTAGTCATGATCTAGAACAGTTAATCTGTTTGGGAATATGAGCCGGCGGCAGGTTTCGTGGAAATCGTCATTGCGCTCACGTACTGAGCTCTGACCGGCTGCAAAGTGGCTGCACACAAAGCAAACAGACGTCACTCCGAGCTGCAGAAAGAGAACGAAAGAGAGGACTAGGATTTCTGTCAAAAGGAATAATATCCGACGAAGAGTGGAGACAATAAAGATTCCGGAGGTGCAGACTAAGGCGACTGATGTTGACAAAGGATGAAAATAAATGTAATCAAGACAAAACGTTTGGTATGATGATGAGTGACGGAAAGTAGTTGGGAGATGAGAATCAGTGTGTTAGTTCAATAACAAAAGTAAAACACTTGACGAATGTCTTCGTAACGAGATCGTGCAGTACACCGCAAGTGCCCTCAGAAATGCATATTATGAACAAGCTGCAATTAGACAGACACTGAAGCAGCAGGCAGAAGCGGGACAAAACAAAACACCAAGACACCCGTATCCAACAGTCACACGCAGAAATCAAAGTACTCACGGACAACATATCAGCACCATACAAACAAGTCAAGCGTCACAGTGAAATGGACTCACAATCACAGCACAATGCACAACAGTGCTGACAAGTAAGAGACATTAGAGTCGGGGTGCGAGTCCAAAAAACAAGCAGTTGCAAAAGCACAATCCACCCCATAGATAACAGACAGATGGAGGAATATCGAGAACCAAAGGTGTGACGATTTGTTAAACAAAACAGTTAGGAGGGGGGGTCACACTAAAATGCTGTGCTATGGGGCTGTGACTAAAAAATGTGGTGCTTTCTTTTTTTTTTTAAACTACTAAAAATTGCTGGGTGCTTTGTTTATTTTTTTTTTTTTGCTTGTGCACCACAAACAACAAACAAAAGCAACGGGAAAAACGGAATTGGTTGCTTTAAAAAAAAAACAAAAGTTACACAACACGATTCACACAACAACACACAAAACCAAAAAATAAAAGGGAAAAAAAAATAAAAAAAAGATATTAAAAAAAAAAAGAAAATAAATTTAAAAAATAAAAAAAAAAAATAAAAGAAAAAGTTCCACTTTCACACGTCACACCACACACATTCAACACAAACACATCACATCCACACAATCACATACCCCACCAACATTCCGCAAACGCGGATCTAGAGCACTACAACAAAACACAAAAAACACACACAACTTCTTCCGTTAGAGAACCACAAGAGCCCAAAACTTCCCGCCACGGACACCGCACTAGCAGCACATGTGGCAGAAAATATGGGGGTGGTTGGGTTTGACAACGACACAGAACACGCTTGGAACAACACTAGCCAAAGTCAGCACCCACCACTGCTGTAGTCAAACAATAGCAGTTTAATAAATGGGAGGTTGAGAAGAGGGGTTGCAAATGAACGACTAAATAAAACGTTGGCAGGGGAAACCAATACAATCCCGATAATAAATAAAAACGATAGCCTCCGCCAGGAAGTCCTGCGATCCGGCATACCCAACCCAGCATGCACGGACAGAGCCCAGACGCCCCCCCCCAAGCAAACAGCGCGGGATAGGCAGAGACCAATTAAACGAAGGGACAACAAAGAGCGCTGTTGTCCCAAATCGGGGGATGAAGGTCATCAAGCGTAAGCGCAGGACAAATTAAATCTACTATGAGGTAGTCAATGTGAAAGAGCCGTATACCGGCGTAACACCCGCTAAAACTAACCGCAGGAATGGGGGTCCGAATCCATGCACCACAGGTTGGAAAAGAACCAGTTGGGCGGAGGGAACTAAAACAATGCAAGGACAAGCACGCACGGGATGAAGGAGGCCAACACATGAAGCAATAACAAAGCGATTTTGGGGCGGATGTCCCAGGGGAGGGCGCTCAGATTCTTCTACAGAGATAGAATCTACAAATAACAAAAAAAACCAGGAGCTCAGACCCCTGCTTGAGCCCCCACGAAATAGAGAGCCCAAACCGCATCAACACAACGGGAGTGCCGCCACATAGCGTACAGAGATAGAAAGATCAGTGGTGGAATCATTACAACCATCCGCGGGTCGGGAATGACACGCAGCGGAGGGCGGACCCGAGTGCTTGGAAGCACGGAGCGTTGTAGAACACAACTACAGAACTCTGCAACATCCACCAATCAATATCAACAAGATTCACAACCCACACAAACACAAGACACGCAATGCAATCGATAGGCCTACAACCCTAAGAAGATTTCGGAAAAAACACAGAAAAAGTCCGGGTGGAAAGTGGAACATATATCTCCGAGTCCCATTCAAGGAAAACCGCCCCGAGGCGTGCTAAGTAAAGCGTAGTTCGATCGGGATACAGAGGGGAGTCTATGGTATTTCACACGTCACAGCAAACAGTCGTCTTTTCAGGTGACGGTTAAAACAAAACAACAGCAAGTCAGGACAGCAACTATTTCCGTTCCGGGCCGTGCGGTACAAGTAATAAGACCGGCAGTAAACTTCTTTTGAAGGTAATAACGAGTAGGGGACAGAGGGGGGGCTCCCTCTGAAGGTAACGAGGGGGCGGTAAAACTTCTTTAGCTCATAACACCGTAGCAGTTCTTTCACTTTCAGAGTTTTTTTTTTTTTTATTTTTATTTTTTCTTTTTTTTTTTTTATTTTTTTTTTTTTTTTTTTTTTTTTTTATTTTTTTTGTTTTTTTTTATTTTTTTTTTTTTTTATTTATATTTTATTTTTAGTATTATTTTTTTTATTTTTTTTTTTTTTTTTTATTTTTTTTTTTTTTTTTTTTTTTTTTTTTTTTTTTTTTTTTTTTTTTTTTTTATTTCTTTTATTTTTTTTTTTTTATTTTTTTTTTTTTTACTTTTTTTTTTATTTTTTTTTTTTATTTTTCTTTTTTTTTTTTTTTTTTTTTTTTTTATTGTTTTTTTTTTTATCTTTTTTTTTTTTTTTATTTTTTTTTTTTTATTTTTTTTTTTTTTTTATTTTTTATTTTTTTTTTTTATATTTTTTTTTTTTATTTTTTTTTTATTTTTTTTTTTTTTTTTTATTTTTTTTTTTTTTATTTTTTTTTTTTTTTTTTTTTATTTTTTTATTTTTTTTTTTGTTTTTTTTTTTTATCCCGCTAGACACTGAAAATCAGTTCATCAAAGGTTATCAAAGGTGAAGTCTAAGCGAAGCTGTTAGCGGGTTCTTTCGCGTAGGCGAAGAATATCCGCCAAACCCGGACAAATCGTGGACTCTGTGGGCGACTGTTGTTGACAAACGAATGAACCTTAACGTAGCAACCGCTTCCGAGACGCTTTAACGATCTCTAAAACAAACAACGCACTATAGAGCATGAGTGCAGGCGGGGCGTTGGTTATGTGCGCTTCGGAGTAGCCATGAAGGCCGAAGCGTAGGGGGTGGGATCCTATGAAGCACGAACTGTCCCCGACCGCCCGTTCCCCGGCCCCGCCGGTGGACACGAGGATCCAGAGAACTGGAGAGCGCTGATGACCCCCGAACAACCCATTCCCTTTGGGGGCAGCATGTGCTTTCCCAACCAACAAACATTCACAATTCAACCTTCCACCATCCCACGAAACCATGCGCACAATCACACTGGCAACGCAACTCGTCACCTGGTGCGCACCGAATTCCTCGATGACCTACAGTTAAAGTAACCATATTGCCATAAGCTACAGATGGCGCACATCAGTAGTCCAACAGTGTCGGTCAAGTCAGATCACGTGCCTGGATTCAGACCATACCCTAATGCGCGCACGCTTGGCGCTCACTCTTCCCGCCTAAAAGAAGCGCTTATCGTCTAACCTTCTTACAGTTCAACAATATAATGACGAACTGGTTCACCAAGTAGCAGTGAAAAATGAGGTTGGAGAACCGGACGCTGACTGAAATCGTCTCAAATGTGACATGAAGTATGTTTCTGACGCTTCCTGTGCACCCGACTTGATAACTCATAACTGTGAATGGATCTTTGAGGCACCGATCAGATGGATGGAAGCACATAAACAGGTTCCGATGGGCATTGAGCTTCAGCGTGTCCGTAAGTCTGAAACGACGTCTGACAAAGAGTCTTCGAGTCGACCGGGAACATTGATGGGTCGCAAGGGCCCGTGAAATGGGGAAATGCAATGCTATTGGCAACAGCCGGGTGCTATTCCAGCTCGTCCGGAACTCGGGTCCGAGAAAACCATCAGTTAGCGAGACAATAGCTGAGAAAAACGGGAAAGTGATCCATTCACAGCCTCGTCGACTAGCCCCTCGGGCGGAACATTTTAAAGAATAGTTCAGCAGGCTTGTTCCAACACTGACTTCTGCCGAATCACCTGAGCCGAGGCGGGAAGTAGATGTCACACATCCCACTTTGGAAGAAATTCAACATGAGCTTTCCGTGTGGAAGCGGAACAAGATTCCTGAACCTGACGACCTTACTCCATCCTTACTGAAAGATGGTGAAGCTTTGTAGAGTGAACTTGCTTCACTTTTTAACACGAGTTGGGGCACTGAAGACACGCCTTCCGATTGGCGACCATCAACTGTCGTGCCCATCTTCAAAGTCAGCGTACATAGTGAGAAAATCATCGAGGCATTGGCCTTATTTCCCTTGCCTCAAAACTTCACACGGGTATCATTTTCCAACGAATTAATGGTTCCCGTGACAACCGAATCAATGAAAACCAGGTTGGCTTCCGCCCTGGTCGTGGTTGCATCGGCCACATATTTACTCTTCACCAAGTTTTAGAGCAGAGGCACACACAAACGACCGACTATGATGCTTTTCCTTGAATTCAAAGCTGCCTTCGATTCGGTTAACCACGCCAGCTTTTGGCACTGTCCATCCATGAACGACGTGCCGGCTAAATTCCTTTTCACTACGTAGTCCCTCTACCGCGATTCCCGAGGCCATGTAAGCTTCTACGGGAAACTGTCTTCTGAGTCCTCCGCAACAAGTGGCGTTCGCCAGGGTTGTCTTATTTCTCCTTTCTTCTTCAACTTTGTTATCAAGATGATCATGAATGACTAGGTTCTTTCAGATTATACTGGAGTGCAATTTGTGCTAAGTGACCTACTGACAAACCTGCAGTATGCGAACGACGTTCCTCCCCTTGCTTTTTACACACTGACCATCACTGAACATCACTGGGTAGACTGAGGTGTAGCGCTGCACGCCTCGGCATATGCTTTGCACCTTCAAAATGCACAATGCTATTGCACGACTGGATAGACAAACCTCCGGTTCTCGCTATCACCGAATAGCCACTGAAAGTGGTGGATCGGCTCACTTACGCTGGTAGCTGTGTCGCCCCCTGGTGGTTGCATCACTGGGGAAGTTACTTCGGGTATCATCAAGATCAGTTTGGTTTCCAGAGACTCAACCATGCATGGAGACGGCTGGATGTCAGCCTGTCAGTGAAAGGTAGGTTGCATAATGCTGCGATAAGGGAGATCTTGCTGTGTGGATCAGAGACCTGGCCAGTTCGCGACGAAGACATTAAACGCTTGGCCGTGTTTGACCACCAGTACTTGCGGAGAATTGTTCACATCTGGTGAGCAATGTTGAGGACCGCCGGTTGGCTTTTGGGAAGAAGCCTATTGGTGCCTCTCTATAGTGTTTGCTGAACCTTCACTGCTGATGTTGGCTAGGCCATGTCCTCCGTATGCACGTTATTCGGCTACCTCGGTGTGCAGCATACGCCGTGACTGAATCAAGTTGAGCGAAACCTCGAGGTAGCCAGTCCATGACGTGGCATAGAGGCATGAAGAAATCGACTGAGAGACTTGGTCAGGCTGGTGCGTGCCGTCTTCGTGGATGGGGGCCTCGGGATGGTCCACACCAATGGTTAGAGACCGAGTCAGACATGGCGCAGTCAGTGGCGTTCTTGGATCTGTGTGTTAAGTTTCGTTCCATTCCGATTAGTTTAACGCATTTCCTTCTTGCTTTCATTTTCTTTACATTCTATTTGCCTCTAAGTGTACTATCGTAACGATGTTGTTTGCTGTTATTCTTGCAATGGGAGTCGTGGCAACTGAATCCAACGCATTTCGGTGCTCGGATCACAGTTGTTTAACTGAGTTGAGTTGATCAGTAGCGCAGGTTGTACTAAGCATCCCTATCATCACTATAAACGTTACTTAGAGGTGGGAAACACTTCAGCTATGGTATCGAAACACGGACCATTTAAATGGTGGTAGAAAAGGAAGCAAATGGAAAAGATAACGACAAAAGGAAAATATAACAAAAAGTTAAATTGTGCTTCGACCCTGAGATCGTGGTTAGGGGGGGGGGGAGGCTAAGCAGAACGGGGGCGAACACAATGCAAACGCCATTGAGCTCTGTTCTTCGCGGTGTCAAAAAGTGTATCCAGCCGACCCCTCAGTCCACGAGTCACGAGGAACTAACCTAGGCCAACTTCGAAATAAGGGCCTTCATTCCTATTGACCAACTCATCGGTTGGCCTCTTCATCTTCTTACATCCATATCCCCGGTCGCGCAAACAATGCACGTCACCAGATTCGCTGTGCTGGCATGAGTAGCATGATAAAGTAGTACACGGCTTCTTTGAGCAATAAATCGACGGCTTACTGTTTCCAGACATAGCCAATACCTTCATAGAAACATTGACTCTATCAAGTTGCACAAATACCTCCTAAGAAAATTGATAGCTAGGGGAGGGGGCTTGAGCTGAGTGATCCTTCAACGTTCGTGGTCACTGCGGTAAGTCCGTATGAAGACACAATGGAATATCGACGACTAAGGCCCATTGATGGAACTTGACCAATAGGTACAGTGCGGCACTCATAGGACGAATTAGAGAATAAGAGTGATTGAATTGCTCTCAGTATCCTTTTACTTTCCGTTATGCGTCTGTGGATCGCACAAGAATCTCATTGGATTTCTCGAAGACGATAACTCATGAGCCGTCTGGAAAGCTAAGCCGAATGGAGTCAAAACAAAACCGTGAAATCGTTCGACCGGCTCTAAGAGAATGGAGAAAGTATTGACAACGTTCACTCACGTTACTGACCCAAATAAGTTGGACTGAGTGGCGAAAGAAAGCTGATAGGAACCTGAAGTGGACCAATCTCATACACGTATCCAGCCGTGAATTCACCGCGCTGGATTAGAGACACCTATGGGGCTGGAGTAGCGGTGAATAAAGAATGAGTATTCCGACAAAAGGTTGGTCTCCATTACATGCACCCCGGAAAACGTATCAGAGTCGAAACCTAGATTGGCAAGATTCGGACCACATGTGTGCCGTACCTTTGACGGTGATAATCCAGCCAATTAGATCAGAGATTGCACACAGACAAGACAGTGGCTAGTCGGAGCGGAATAACGTTCCATAAGCTTACCTGGATCAAGAAGCTGGAATGGGAATACTTTTGAAAAAAAAAGCACAACGTACTTGGAAACGGATTGCCACACCCCCCTTATTGCCAGCTGTTCCACCAAGACCGGTCTTCACTGAGGTTGTGGAGATTCCCTTCAAAAAAGTGGCCAAGCGAGCTCGGACGAACACGAAAAGACACACGCCGACTAACTGAACTGAGTTAATGAGAACAAAGGGGTCTTTTTCGTGAGCATCGCGATTTAGATGCCGCTGAAGATATTGACCCCAGTCGCGCTGGTTAGCTGAAGGTTTGGAGCCTGCCACGATGTTGGACGTGGTAAGATCCACAATCTCTTCGAAACCGATGGCGAACACATCGATCGGACGACTCAGCTGGTTGTCATCGTATGACGGGTTTCGATAGCCCCAATTATCATCTAGCCTGACAGTTTTATGCATATCGAGGAGCCAATCGGTCACCAATTCGTGTTTGTGTGCGACGCTACGAAAGTGTTTGCCTCCGTTCACATTCCACGTGCCCACAAATATGCGCAGCTTGTGTGGCATGGTAAAGTCTTGATAACACCGCATGATATTTGTCAAAAGAGCGGGAGGCAAGCAAAGAAGTCGTCCCGGGAGATATCGACCTGAAGCGGAGATGGCAAGGTTAAACGTGAACTCACTCAGAGTAAATTTTAAAAAATGCCAACCTAAGGGTAACTAGAACAGAACAACGTACTACTCATGGAGCCCATCCAGCCATGGAGGTTGGGATGCATAAGGAGAGTGCACATCGCCTCATGTTTAGTCGCATCGAAGAAGCTGTGCTGGATGGTTCTGGCTGCACTTCGTTGGACATCCCGTAACTTGGAGCGGCTGGAACCCAGAGCGCCAGTGCCAGCGTAAATTCGGCTCAACTGGTCGCCGTTCTGCTGCCACATCTTTGACGCAAAACAAGTAGAACCGGGTGAAGGTGAATTTGTAGACGTTAAGGAGAGTAACGTTAAAAAAGTAATACACTGAAAATGGTGAGACACAGAACGGTCCAGCTTACCTATGCACGGCGTGATTCGGTGACCCTAAATGAGGTTTCTGGAAGATAGGGTGGACTGTGACGGTGATTATCATCAGGAAAAACCTAACTTAATAGCAACAAATCATAGACCCATTGGTAACTCAGCTCGCTAGACAAACAATGATCAGAGGATAAAATTTAGGAAGACCAGGCGACAGCAGAAGTGTCTCATGATAACGAATATCCTGAGGAATAGGCGAACAGAGGGTGGGTCGTTGGAACACCGACAGTAAGAAAGAGACGCGTAAAATTATAGTCGCCATTCAGGAAGACAACACTTCGGAACAAGTTAACAGACGATTCAGAGCAACCGTTAATAATTCCTGTGGTACAGCACTGTGGCGCATAATCAATTCCACGCCCATATTACTCATTTACATGAAGGATAAATTGCCTGTGGATGCGACTTCCCTCAGTGTATACCTGTCCTTATGGTAGGTTTAGCTGAACGCGTTAGAGACAAGCATCACAGCGTGGCTAAGCCGAGTGTTGAAGTGAAAAAAATGAAGGAAGGTGTAGATTACATGCTTCGCCATAGCTGAGTCGGTAAAAGAACTCTTACTAACGGCCAGTCTTTCTTTCTCGTTCGGGTCTCAGTGCAGTGGAACCAGGTTACGCGTGATTCGCCCCCAGTCTCAACTCGCATGTACGTGTGACGACTAGGTTTCGTTAGCTTGCAACGTTATAGATTCGACTGGATACTCTGCACGTGTGAGGTACTAGCTATGATAAACGTTCGTCCGTTTCAACTAAGAGTCAAAGCAACTAGGACGAGTTATAACAGGATCCTTGCAATGGCGGAGACGACCGCGATTCGTACCAATATCCCCGGTTGTATGTGCATAAACAGTTCGTCAGGGCTTCCATTTTACCATACACTTTCTGCGAGAACAAAGCACACCCCTTATGGTCATTTTGATACCTTAACGTAAAGAATCATGAAAACCAGTTTGCTTCCTAAACTGGTGTTTCATGACCAAAACGAGAAGTATTCACCATTTGAAACATGCATTCTGTTGTGCAAAAGCATGGCGTATTGTTGATCTACGCTGGTGATATTTTGCACTTCTAGTTATTTGGAAGGAACGGGGAGAAGTTGCAGGGGCAACAGACGTGCGGAAATGACAGGCCACATGCGTGTGGCTGACGTTTCCCATTCCGATTGAGACTGGGTCCAAAGAGTGGGTGGTACTCCCACAACTTATTCACTCAGTGAAAGAGACGCTACATGGTCGGATCGGCAACTAAGTGGTCTGGATTAAATATTACTAGGATGGAGGGAGGTGTGTAGCGCGCACTGCCCGAGTTTAGATGCTGAAGTGCTTTGGAGAAAAAAAACACCGGGGAAGGACGAAGAAGCGCTCCCACACAATCAGAAACCGAAAAAGCTGAAGACCAGGTTTTGCAGAGTAACAAAGAGATGAAGCATCTAACAGCTTGAAGCAAACGGGAATGGCTAGGGGGAGCCGCGCATGCTCACAATCGTGCAATGGCGTACAGAGCGGCCTAAGCATCGCGCAATCTCTATGGGCAAACGATGTGGAAATGCACAAAGGTAAACTCTGAGAAAGTTCAATTTAGCCCATATAGGATGCAAATTGAATAGAGAACAAATTTGCCATCCAGTAGGATTCAGCCAAGTAGATCTGAGCGACCCGCTTACCAGATATAGGGCATCGACGAAACGATTCGTAAGCACTCTGTGGCTTTCCAAAGACGAGTCCAAGGTGGCCAACATCTTGGGAAGAGCAAGTTGCACCCCGACTAAAGTTTGGACGCTATTGGTACGGTCCAGACAATCCACACAATTGATTCGTAACTTCGATAGGTAGTGTGATGAAGAGAGAAAAAGAAAAGTGATTCCGATCAACAGAAGGGATCAAAAAGGATCATTTTAAACAGCAATGCAAGGAAACGTGTAAGGAGCAGGTATATGAAAGGAAAGCAACTATGAACCAAGATGACTTTTTGGACTCCAGTATCTGTGGAGAATCTCTCTCCCTCGCAACAACACCAAAAAAACCAAAAACCAGAACAACGGGGGGGGTAGACAAATACCCAACAAACCAAACAAGACAAAAACGGGGGGGAGAAGAGTCGGCCCAGCGCGCGCACCACCCCCCCTGCTGAGTCTACAATAGAATCAACGTAAGCTATCCAGCTTTTACCCACATTCCAATCCCTCTCCTCCAACGTTTTCCCTTCGCACATTGGCTGTATGAAAAAGAACCTCTTTTATTGATCCCTCGTCTGTTGGATCGGAAAATCACTTTTTCTTTTTTCTCTGTCTTCATCACACTACCTATCAAAGTTACGAATCAATTGTGTGGATTGTCTGGACCGTACCAATAGCGTCCAAACTTTAGTCGGGGTGCAACTTGCTCTCCCCAAGATGTTGGCCACCTTGGACTCGTCTTTGGAAAGCCACAGAGTGCTTACGAATCGCTTCGTCGACGCCCTGTATCTGGTAAGCGGGTCGCTCAGATCTACTTGGCTGAATCCTACTGGATGGCAAATTTGTTCTCTATTCAAGTTACATCCTATATGGGCTAAACTGGACTTTCTCAAAGTTTACCTTTGTGCATTTCCACATCGCTTGTCCATAGAGATTGCGCGATGCTTAGGCCGCTCTGTACACCATTGCACGATTGTGAGCATGCACGGCTCCCCCTAGCCATTCCCGTTAGCTTCAAACTCTTAGATGATTCATCTCTTTGTTACTGTGCAAAACTTGGTCTTACAGCTTTTTCGATTTCTGAGCGCTTCTTCGTCCTTCCCCGGTGTTTTTTTCTCCAAAGCACTTCAGCATCTAAACTCAGGCAGTGCGCGCTACACACCTCCCTCCATCCTAGTAATATTTAATCCAGATCACTTAGTTGCCGATCCGACCATGTAGCGTCTCTTTCACTGAGTGAATAAGTTGTGGGAGTACCACCCACTCTTTGGGTCCAATCTCAGTCGGAATGGGAAACGTTAGCAACGCGCATGTGGCCTGTCATTTCCACACGTTTGCTGCCCCTGCAACTTTTCCTCGTTCCTTCCAAATAACCAGAATTGCAAAATATCACCAGTGTAGATCAACAATACGCCATGCTTTTGCACAACAGAATGCATGTTTCAAATGGTGAATACTTCTCGTTTTGGTCATGAAACATTAGTTTAAGAAGCAAACTGGTTTTCATGATTCTTTACGTTAGGATATCAAAATGACCATAAGGGGTGTGCTTTGTTCTCGCAGAAACTGTACAGTAAAATGGAAGCCCTGACGAACTGTTTATGCACATACAACCGGGGATATTGGTACGAATCGCGGTCGCCTCTGCCATTGCAAGGATCCTGTTATAACTCGTCCTAGTTGCTTTAACTCTTAGTCGAAACGGACGAACGTTCATCATACCTAGTACCTCACACGTGCAGAGTATCCAGTCGAATTCATAACGTTGCAAGCTAACGAAACCTAGCCGTCACACGTACATGCGAGTTGAGACTGGGGGCGAATCACGCGTAACCTGGTTCCACTGCACTGAGACCCGAACGAGAAAGAAAGACTGGCCGTTAGTAAGAGTTCTTTTACCGACTCAGCTATGGCGAAGCATGTAATCTACACCTTCCTTCATTTTTTTCACTTCAATACTCGGCTTAGCCACGCTGTGATGCTTGTCTCTAACGCGTTCAGCTCAACGTACCATAAGGACAAGTATACACTGAGGGAAGTCGCATCCACAGGCAATTTATCCTTCATGTAAATGAGTAATATGGGCGTGGAATTGATTATGCGCCACAGTGCTGTACCACAGGAATTATTAACGGTTGCTCTGAATCGTCTGTTAACTTGTTCCGAAGTGTTGTCTTCCTGAATGGCGACTATAATTTTACGCGTCTCTTTCTTACTGTCGGTGTTCCGACGACCCACAGTCTGTTCGCGTATTCCTCAGGATAGTCGTTATCATGAGACACTTCTGCTGTCGCCTGGTCTTCCTAAATTTTATCCTCTGATCCTTGTTTGTCTAGCGAACCGAGTTACCAATGGGTCTATGATTTGTTGCTATTAAGTTAGGTTTTTCCTGATGATAATCACCGTCACAGTCCACCCTATCTTCCAGAAACCTCATTTAGGGTCACCGAATCACGCCGTGCATAGGTAAGCTGGACCGTTCTGTGTCTCACCATTTTCAGTGTATTACTTTTTTAACGTTACTCTCCTTAACGTCTACAAATTCACCTTCACCCGGTTCTACTTGTTTTGCGTCAAAGATGTGGCAGCAGAACGGCGACCAGTTGAGCCGAATTTACGCTGGCACTGGCGCTCTGGGTTCCAGTCGCTCCAAGTTACGGGATGTCCAACGAAGTGCAGCCAGGACCATCCAGCACAGCTTCTTCGATGCGACTAAACATGAGGCGATGTGCACTCTCCTTATGCATCCCAACCTCCATGGCTGGATGGGCTCCATGAGTAGTACGTTGTTCTGTTCTAGTTACCCTTAGGTTGGCATTTTTTAAATTTAATCTGAGTGAGTTCACGTTTAACCTTGCCATCTCCGCTTCAGGTCGATATCTCCCGGGACGACTTCTTTGCTTGCCTCCCGCTCTTTTGACAAATATCATGCGGTGTTATCAAGACTTTACCATGCCACACAAGCTGCGCATATTTGTGGGCACGTGGAATGTGAACGGAGGCAAACACTTTCGTAGCGTCGCACACAAACACGAATTGGTGACCGATTGGCTCCTCGATATGCATAAAACTGTCAGGCTAGATGATAATTGGGGCTATCGAAACCCGTCATACGATGACAACCAGCTGAGTCGTCCGATCGATGTGTTCGCCATCGGCTTCGAGGAGATTGTTGATCTTACCACGTCCAACATCGTGGCAGGCTCCAAACCTTCAGCTAACCAGCGCGACTGGGGTCAATATCTTCAGCGGCATCTAAATCGCGATGCTCACGAAAAAGACCCCTTTGTTCTCATTAACTCAGTTCAGTTAGTCGGCGTGTGTCTTTTCGTGTTCGTCCGAGCTCGCTTGGCCACTTTTTTGAGGGGAATCTCCACAACCTCAGTGAAGACCGGTCTTGGTGGAACAGCTGGCAATAAGGGGGGTGTGGCAATCCGTTTCCAAGTACGTTGTGCTTTTTTTCAAAAGTATTCCCATTCCAGCTTCTTGATCCAGGTAAGCTTATGGAATGTTATTCCGCTTCCCACTAGCCACTGTCTTGTCTGTGTGCAATCTCTGATTTAATTGACTGGGTTATCACCGTCAAAGGTAAGGTACGCATGTGGTCCGAATCTTGCCACTCTAGGTTTCGACTCTGATACGTTTTCCGGGGTGCATTTAATGGAGACCGACCTCTTGTCGGAATACTCATTCTTTATTCACCGCTTCTGCAGCTTCATAGGTGTCTCTAATCCAGCGCGGTGAATTCACGGCTGGATACGTGTATGAGATTGGTCCACTTCAGGTTCCTATCAGCTTTCTTTCGCCACTCAGTCCAACTTATTTGGGTCAGTAACGTGAGTGAACGTTGTCAATACTTTCTCCATTCTCTTAGAGCCGGTCGAACGATTTCACGGTTTCGTTTTGACTCCATTCGGCTTAGCTTTCCAGACGGCTCATGAGTTATTGTTTTTGAGAAATCCAATGAGATTCTTGTGCGATCCACAGACGCATAACGGAAAGTGAAAGGATACTGAGAGCAATTCAATCACTCTTATTCTCTAATTCGTCCTATGAGTGCCGCACTGTACCTATTGGTCAAGTTCCATCAATGGGCCTTAGTCGTCGATATTCCATTGTGTCTTCATACGGACTTACCGCAGTGACCACGAACGTTGAAGGATCACTCAGCTCAAGCCCCCTCCCCTAGCTATCAATTTTCTTAGGAGGTATTTGTGCAACTTGATCGAGTCAATGTTTCTATGAAGGTATTGGCTATGTCTGGAAACAGTAAGCCGTCGATTTATTGCTCAAAGAAGCCGTGTACTACTTTATCATATTACTCATGCCAGCACAGCGAATCTGGTGACGTGCATTTTTTGCGCGACCGGGGATATGGATGTAAGAAGATGAAGAGGCCAACCGATGAGTTGGTCAATAGGAATGAAGGCCCTTATTTCGAAGTTGGCCTAGGTTAGTTCCTCGTGACTCGTGGACTGAGGGGTCGGCTGGATACACTTTTTGACACCGCGAAGAACAGAGCTCAATGGCGTTTGCATTGTGTTCGTCCCCGTTCTGCTTAGCCTCCCCCCCCCTAACCACGATCTCAGGGTCGAAGCACAATTTAACTTTTTGTTATATTTTCCTTTTGTCGTTATCTTTTCCATTTGCTTCCTTTTCTACCACCATTTAAATGGTCCGTGTTTCGATACCATAGCTGAAGTGTTTCCCACCTCTAAGTAACGTTTATAGTGATGATAGTGATGCTTGGTACAACCTGCGCTACTGATCAACTCAACTCAGTTAAACAACTGTGATCCGAGCACCGAAATGCGTTGGATTCAGTTGCCACGACTCCCATCGCAAGAATAACAGCAAATAACATCGTTACGATAGTGCACTTAGAGGCAAATAGAATGTAAAGAAAATGAAAGCAAGAAGGAAATGCGTTAAACTAATCGGAATGGAACGAAAATTAACACACAGATGTAAGAACGCCACTGACTGCGCCATGTCTGACTCGGTCTCTAACCATTGGTGTGGACGATCCCGAGGCCCCCATCCACGAAGACGGCACGCACCTGCCTGACCTAGTCTCTCAGTCGATTTCTTCATGCCTCTATGCCACGTCATGGAATGGCTACCTCGAGGTTTCGCTCAACTTG